TTTGAAAAGTACATCATACAAATTAAGTGGGTGAGAAGAAAAGCAAGTTAAGGCAAGGCAGCTCATGGTATCCCTAGACATTTAGTTGTTTAGGAGAAGTTGGGTTGAAATGTTTACCGAGGTGATAAACCCAACAAACTAACACACAAACCAACTTCATACATATTCTTATTGTAGTATGCCCCTTTGTGACAGGGCAATACTTCACAGGTTATAAAAATAGCAAAAATAAAACCCTATACCATTACATATAAATAAAATGATGTATATATGTAGTCTGTAATAAATAAACACAGTTTTAATGTAACAAAATAATACAAAACAACGCAATTTTCCATCCCCTACCCAAAAATACCAAACATGCCATTTTCCATCCCCTACCCAAAGATGTGACATGCCCTTGTCAACAGATATTTTACCTTATATATGTTAATTCTGTATAAGTGTCTAGCTGATGTACTTTTAAAACAGAACCCTCTTCAGACACTGGGATATCTCATCCTTAATGAAAATAGGTAGGATGCAACAGAAATCATTTCCTAATGAGACAACCCATATATACAAAATTATTAATAATTATAAGATATAAAAAAAACATTAAGGTATTTTGAAAATGAAATTTAATGTAGAGAAGTTTAATGTAAGTCATTGATTAAAAAAGATTTGACAAAAATTGACAAGTTGCTACATATATATCACAATTAGGAGGTATATGATAGGATAAATAAGTACTGTTGTACATAAGCAATATACCGGGTATATCTAAGTCTGTGGATATAGCAACAAAGTATTTACATGTACATCTATTTCTAAAATAGTAATGTCAATTTTGGATGTAGTGTTTTATCATATGATTTCAAGGAATGGTCAACTCCAACACTTGTGGGAAGTTTTACAATGATCCATATATATTACAGGGAGATAAATTTTTTCAGAAAGTAAAGGTGGGACTGACAGAGTAGTCTCCCTTTACAGTACATGATCACAAAGTGTCCATAAAGCAAACATTTAAGATTGCACTTTAATTAACAAGCCCACTTGTATATATAAAGTATGAGAAAATATAGATTATATACATATAGTGTCATGAAAGTTAATAAAAAAAGTTCTACACATAATGCATTTAGTAGATGATATGAAGCTTTACGATACAGCATTTTTTATAACAGTTTAAAAAGTCATTTTGACAAAGAATAGCAAATTGATCAGAACAATACATGATCCAAAAAACTTAACAATCAAACAATCACTGAAAGTGAAAATACTTCTCTCCAGCCAGATAGATAAAATAACATTTAACAAATGATATATCAAAAGTAGAGTAAGACATAAAAAAAAGAGATAACATCCTTATGGCTTTCAGAATCACACTACAGACAATGTAGAAACACATTGATAAACTCCAAACAAGGTATATTGAAAGAAAATATAAGTTTTAGATAAGAAAACAAGAAACTTCAACAAAATAATATACTGGAGCACCTGTCAGTACAAGAATAGAGTGAACAATATACAACCAACTTGTTAAAATTGTCAGTATTTATATCAGTAAAAAGTTTGGATAACATCTTGAACTGTTGTAAAGTATTCTCATAACCTCCGTATCATACTTATTGTTCCCAATAACCATCCCATTTCAATATTGTACAGAAATCTTACTCTTTGTTTGCAGGTAATTCTCACAGATTATACAAATGATGTACCCATGAAGAGAGCCTGTCAATACAAATTGAGAATTAGTACAATAGAGGCCAATAAACCCCATTACGTAGCCATTTTGTCCTTCTAGGACTTACCTAAAGTAAATCCTAATGCCTTAATTCAGAAAACCTACCAGGTGTCTAAGAGAAATTCAAATGTTTTGGTAAAAAATGTCAAAATGTAGAGGAGGAGGTGTTATTGTCCTATAATTCATTTGATGTCTATATCCTATATATCTGATAATTTCAGAAGAATGTCAAGTACGTATGAATATTCTGACCTAGGCCTCTATTTGAATGAATTAAAACATGGCAGGTTTTAACACAATGTAACAAAACTATGATTTGTTTATATGGTTAGAACTAAGTGTTGTAAATCTTTCAGTGATAGTTGGGTAGGCAGAACATTTTTAACACCACCAATTTTGTTGCTACATGGTGTATCGAACAGGCTTTTATTATACAAGGGATCAGTAATATTGATGGCACAAACCCATTTGTTTAAATCATCAAGATTCATTATCAACTAAGGGCCATAACTCTCAAAAGAATTAATGGTTCAATATGGTAAAGTACATATACTGGTTGTAAACTTCATGAAGAGACAAGGGACTGCAAGGGATATTAATTACACGATGACACTACACCTCTGTGAAGCGTTACCAGAGAGTGTGATAAACAAGTAAATACATGTAATGGTTGTACAATTTATAACGTAACCAGGCAACTGGTTATAAATTTACAATTATATGTAACAAATAGCAATAAATAGATGTTGTATCATCCAATCAATATGCGTTATACACAAGCACTTCCCTTTAACCATCTTTTGATACAAGAAAACTTTATGAGAGACTTAAGAAAGTGTAAGGCACACAATGGAGTGGTAAAACCAGACTTGTTTTAAGGACATTTACTAGATAATGTGGGGACTTGGCGAGTCTGAAGGAAAGTTACTCCATGTGCATATTCTACTGATGTACAATGTATATAAACAATAAATGATGAGGAATGAGAATATGTTTTTTATTGTCTCCATTTCTGGACATGATCATTAAACACATAAAAGTGATGAACAAGAGATCCAGGAATGTTCAACCTTACACCTGTATTACATCTGTATGTCAGTTTGATGTTTTACTTTCTGCTCTTCATCATTAGTGCTTCATGTTTACAATGATTGAAATAAACAGTAATACCATTCAACAACTGCAAGAAAGTTTTGAATGTTTCATCCAATATTTTCTAACAAATAGCAATAACAATCCTACAAGGAAAACATGAGGTCCAATGGGTCTGCATTGCTTACCTGGCATTGAAACCTTTTCACAAATACATTAACATTTAACGTCATAGACATTCACAGATTTGGTTTATAAGAAGAAGCCCTTGGAAGGTTCCAACAAATTGTCTGTGACCTTGAATATTGTTAAGGGTTATTTCTTTTCCAAAACTTTGATTGGCTTCCCATAAGGAAGCTAAAAACCAAATAACAAGATTCTGGGCATCTTGGTTCATTAGAAGAAGTTGTTTGGATTGTTTAACAAATTTCACTCTGTTGAACTTTGTTGAGCTTCATCCTAAGAACATATATTGCAACCAGCCAAATATTATGATTCTAGGTCCTTTGCTTAATTAGAAAGAAATTGTTTGAAGGTATTAACAAATTGGATCCCTGTGATCTCGAATGTTAGTCCCCAAAGTATTTTTTTTCTTTCCCTAAATATTGTTGGCATTCAGCTCTAGTGCCTTTCAACCAAATATTGTGATTCCTGACCTTTTACTAAATCAGAAGTTAGGTGTCTGAAGGTTTTAAAAAAATTGACCTCTGTGACCTTAAATGTGAGTCAAGTCATTTCTTGTCACAAACTTTTTAAGGCTTCATCCTGGGAACTTTCCAGCTAAATACTATGATGTTAGACCTTTTTCTTATACAGAAGAACTGTTTTAAGGCTTAAACAAATCTGACACATGTGATCTTGAACATGGGAAAAATAAATAACTATGTGAATAAATAAATTGATTTGAGAAAAAATATATAAATCATATCGCACAAGAATACAACGAACATAATTTTGTTACAAAAATTGATTTCCTTTCTTGAAGTTAATAAGAATCTTTTTAATTTTCACTGACAATACAATATGGATATCTTCTACTTCCATACAAGTGGGAGTTGGTTTTAAAACTGACAGCCTTGTTGGCTTCAATTTTTCAAACTGACAGCCTTTTTAAACTTTAAATTGGGAAATCATTATTAATTGTGACAAATTCTGAAGACACTGATCGTTTAATCTGCTTTTTATTAAGTTCTAAGTCTTCATGATGATGGAGTAACATGTATTTTATAGGGCTCTTTAAAATACAAGTGACACCGTGAGAGCTGCTTCCAGACAGCATTAAATGTAAAGAATCCCACTTGGACGCAAAACATATCAATTTAAAAAAAAAAAAAAAAAAACATTTAACAAGAGGTCATAGGGCCTGTGGCATTCACATGGTTTGGCTTGCTGAAATTGCTTTATCCAAACTAAAGGGAAAGTATTTGAGAGATTTATTTCTATTCCCATATATGGCCCTGCCACCTTGTCCCCCAGGGGGGTCAGACCCACTGTTTATATCAGGATACTTCAGACCAAATTTAGACAAAATCATGTCATTCTTATTAAAAAAAGATTTTAAGTAAATTGATATATTCCCTTATTGTGCCCTGCCTACAGTGTCGCATCAAAAATAACCCTAAGGGATGTGACACGCAGCTGACAGGGTAGTGGAATTGAGTTATTGTTCCATAAATTTTACATATAAATGCACACTTTGTTGAAACCTTTTAATTACAATAAAATATGACATTTTAAAAACTTGATATCAGATATAATCTAAATACTGAAAGACACATTCCTTATAAAAGGATTTTACAAATTTAATAATTTTGTGAAAGCTATGATCCATAAAATTTTTAACTAAATGTGCATTTTTTTTTCTTTTTGAGCAAGCAGTTGACACAAATTTTAAGGTAGTATTAAGGAAATGGTATGGAAATAACAAGCACAGGTCTGCAGTGATCCAGGGCGACTTACCTATATGGATGAAATTTGTAAATGATCCAAATAGTGCTTCTATAGAAATAGTGATAACATAATTGTAAGGACAGACAGATAGAAAGATCCCCAACCATGGACAAAGTGCAATTTGAATAAAAAATTATCCTTAACCTATTGGCATGCATATGTATTGCTACCAAATTTAATTTCTTCTTCAGAAATTATACTTTTTGTTCAGTTTTCCTTAAAAGGTTTGTTATAAAATCACAGTTGGTTGGCTGGAAAGAGTGACTTTCTGACCGACCTTTTGACCTTGTGGGTAAAAGGCTTTGAGACATTTTGGTGATATCACTTTTCCTTTTGGAGATTTAAATGGACTGGATTTCCTCAGGGTACTGATTTGGTATGGATTAGAATTCAGAGTCAGCAATGTTTCTGTGATAGTCTTGATCACTGGTCCAATTCTGTCAGCTGTAACAGACTGGTCACTTAAAACTGCCCAGTCTTTAGGGTTTAACCCTGGAGGTACCTGGTAATGGAACACAAATTATATACTAGGTTTAAAACAAAATTTGTGATACCTAATCATGATGTTATGTTTGCTTTCAAACTAATAACATTTGTTGGGTCTACAAAATATCACATTCTCAGGCATTATACTATTTAACATGATTATACTACAAGAACAGTGCAGTACCCATGTTGCTATCACATTAATTAGAAAGTAATAGGGGGAACTTTTTAGTCAAGTTTGGGGCCAGGTTTAAGATGAGGTTTTGAACCAGGTTTGGGGGCCAGGTTTTGGATAAGGTTTTAAGCCAGGTTTGGGGCCAGGTTTTAGATGAGATTTTGAACCAGGTTTGGGGCCAGGTTTTGGATGAGGTTTCTGAGCCAGGTTTGGGGCCAGGTTTGGGGCCAGGTTTTAGATGTAATGGAGTTTTAAGCCAGGTCTGGGGCCAGGTTTAGGACAAGGTTTTAAGCCAGGATTGGGGCCAGGTTTCGCATGAGGTTTTAAACCAGGTTTGGGGCCAGGTTTTAGATGAGGTTTTAAGCCAAAATTGGGGCCAGGTTTGGATGAGGTTTTAAGTCAAGTTTTTGGCCAGGTTTTAGATGAGGTTTTGAGTCAAGTTTGGGGCCAGGTTTTGGATGAGGTTTTAAGTCAAGATTGGGGCAAGGTTTTGGATGAGGTTTTAAGCCAAGCTTGTGGCCAGGTTTTGGATAAGGTTTTATGCCAAGTTTGGGGGCCAGGTTTTGGATAAGGTTTTATGCCAAGTTTGGGGGCCAGGTTTTGGATGTGTTTTGAACCAGGTTTGGAATCAGGTTTTAGATGAGGTTTTGAACCTGGTTTGAGGTCAGGTTTTAGATGAGATTTTTAGCCAAGTGATGGTATGAAAGCTCTACTATGTTCTGTTGATTGGACTACGTCTACAATAATATGTGGAAATTTTTGTTGTTGAACGAAGAGTGAATATGCTTAAGGATAGCATTAGAACAGCCCTCCTAAAAAACTACCCCACAATGTACCCCACAGCATTCAACAACATCTTGTTTACCACACAGTACTCAACAACCTCTTTTATACCACACAGTACTCGACAACCTCTTGTTTACCACACAGTACTAAACAACCTCTTGTTTACCACACAGTACTCGACAACCTGTTTACCACACAGTATTCGACAACCTCTTGTTTACCACACAGTACTAAACAACCTCTTGTTTACCACACAGTACTCAACAACCTCTTGTTTACCACAGAGTACTTGACAATCTGTTTACCACACAGTACTCGACAACCTCTTGTTTACCATACAGTACTCGACAACCTCTTGTTTACCACACAGTACTAAACAACCTCTTGTTTACCACAGAGTACTCGACAACCTCTTGTTTACCACACAGTACTCGACAACCTCATGTTTACCACACAGTACTAAACAACCTCTTGTTTACCACACAGTACTCAACAACCTGTTTACCACACAGTACTCGACAACCTCTTGTTTACCACACAGTACTCGACAACCTCTTGTTTACCACACAGTACTCGACAACCTCTTGTTTATCACACAGTACTCGATAATCTCTTGTTTACCACACAGTACTCGACCTCTTGTTTACCACACAGTACTAGACAACCTCTTGTTTACCACACAGTGCTAAACAACCTCTTGTTTACCACACAGTACTCAACAACCTCTTGTTTACCACACAGTACTCAACAACCTCTTGTTAACTTTTCAGGACTCATTAAGAGTACCAACAAATCTTCAGAATGTTGCCAGTTGTGTCCAAACACACGTATATCTGACTTTGGTTTTATTCCAGATAAAGTCGTACTTTTTTTAACAGGGTTTAATAGTAATGGTGATTTATCATGACTTATACTGAACCTTTATAAAGAAATAAAATCAATGAGATAAATGATTGTAAATGTTATACAGATATGAAGTGAAATGATGATGCCAAGTTAATTATAATGTATATTATACAGAACCACACCTCTTCAATATAATGGATTATACAGTCAAGGAGAAGCAGACTTTCTAACCTGGTATATCCTGGTGAGTGAACTAGACAGTTCTGGACAGAGGACAGGGACCACTGTTCGGTCATTCCATAAGAACTCTCGGATCAACTGTTCCATGGACATATCACCTTGAACAAATACAGGACATCAAATCAAATGGCAGATACAATTCTACAACAACCATTCAGGCTATTTAATAACAATCAATATAAATTGTCACGTCTGGCAAAATAACAAGTTCAAGATAAACCTTCCTTTTCCTAGAAAACACTGTAATCCAGATCTCTAACCAAATAGGCAAAACTATTTGATTTCTAGAGAGTTCTGTTTATAAAGAACCCATTCTATATGTTTATATCAGAAATGCCTACCATAAACTAGTACACACACGTCACACAGCCCAGCCACCGCAGAGTCTCGTTCCTGCTCTGTTGCTCCACAATAAATGGTTGTCTCCTTCTCTTTATTCACATGCTTGAGGTTTTCCTGTGAAAAAAATTCCATAATTATGTGTTGTGTCTGAAATTGAACTTTTTTCTGAATAAAATCTTGTAAAAAGAACATCTATACTGAGCTCAGTTATCTATACATACCTGTTTCTTAGGAGAAACCGTGAGAACATTGTATTCTTTGTGAAGTTCACCAACTCTGGTTCGGTAACCATTGACAGCATTAGAGTTACTGCAGGTTACTATAGTAACATCATCCAAACATGCCAGCTGTGATAACACCGACCTTTAAAGAAGAAATAAAGGTTTACTCTGAGAATCACAGAAAAATATCTGTTAAAATCAAATCTTGATAACAGAAAACCTACCTATACACCTGAGCTGTTCCAGAATCTGATATATCTCCTGACATCAAGCACACACAGAACCGGCTGTGGATACTTGCTTCTAAGGAGTGTACCTGTTTTAAAAACCAAGAAAATGAAACAAAATACATATTACAATCTTAAGTATTTTTCTTGTTTTGACTACTAAAGTGTAACAAGCTAGTAATATCAATTTTACTGATTCTTGTGAATTTTTCTTTCGAGAGTTTCAGCATTGAAGAATTAACACTTTGAAAATAGAATATAGCATTTCATTCAACATACTTAGTATCATGGTTTACCTAAGATAACAAGGCATCATAGACAATACAAATGCCCTTGTCCCAGGAACTAGCTATAAATAATGTAAAACATTTTGATAGACACCCTTTGATAGAACCCTCATACCCAACTCTGAATGAATAGATATATTGTTCAATAACATTTATCCTACATTAACCCTAGGGGTGATATATAACTTACTGAAAGTCTGGGGTTAAGCTTATCACAGAATGATGAAATAACATTGGTTGGGAACTCTACTGGTCTGAATTTATAAGTGAAGGCCAATAGCATGCATGGCATTTTTAGCAAATAAATAAGTAGAAAGGAATAAGTTAAAATCACATTCTATATTTTTATCAAACATTGCGCAAATCTGTGAGCCTCCAAAGGTTGACATGCAAACATGAGCAATAGATGATGGCTGTGATAATCAGATAATTTCTAAATAAAGTTTCTAGAGTAAGAATGTTGCATATCTACTTTAAGTAGCAGTAACCTAAATTTTGATTCTAGAAGCATGAGACGCCAATTCTTACAAAAGATAATGGCTTCACGTCTAAGTAAGTGTATGATGTTTCAATCAGGTAATCAATGTAGCTGGTACAGTGAAGATGTCAAATATCTATTTGAATTAACAATAAACAGTGACCTCAGTCATACCCAAGAAGATTGAGACACCATCCCCAACAGGAGATAACGGCTGTCAATAAGTGTATAAAGTTTCTCACTGCTTTTGTAGATGATTGGGTGAGAAAGAACAGAAAATTTACTGTTTTTCTTTATCTAATTACAGATCAAATTCACACTTATTCGACCTTTGACCTTGAGGTCAAGGTCCCAAAGATCCAATCACAAAGCTTGGCACTTCAAAAGCACTGCATTTCCTCGGTGGATGATAAAAATGTACAGCAATTTTCAGTACGAAATTTTCAATTGTTTGGAAGTTAAGACCTGGATAAGAATTAGTAAAAGAACTAGATTCAGAAGACCTGAGACAAAGACAATAGGTCTCCCTTCATTTGATGGGGAGACAATATGAAGCCAGTAGATCAAGGAAGGCAAATATCTATTTCTAGTAACATTAGTTTTGAACCTAGGAAGTTGAGATGCGAAATGATGGCTATAAGTAAGTGTATAAAGTTTCAGGACAATTTGATCATTCATCAAGTGGGCAGAGGAAGGATGCCAAATACCTTCTGCTAGTGACAATTAATCTTAACCACAAAAGGTTGAGATGTGAACTTGTACAAGACATGATGCCAACTTGTTTACAGAGGATAACAGTCATTAAATCATTTTTCATTCAAACTTTTCCCAAAACACTGCAAGCAAGTTATATCCTTGTGTTCCTTGTAAGTGGTTTAAACACGTAATAAATCATACCCTTTGTGACATCTTAGTGTCTTGATTCCTGTTAGTCTTATCTTGGTTTCCATTAGGGTCCAGACAACTCTTGATTCTCTTCAGTATATCCATGTGGAAGTTGTCGTGCTGAATATTCTATAGAATGATAAGAGAAACTGCCAGTAAACACTGTATAAATTGAAACATGTTATAAACTAAATCATTTAACCATATTAAGCAAAGCACCAATTTGGTCGTCTACATCACAAGTATAAACGACAACAACAAATACTGAACCCCAGGTTCCTAGTCTTTATAATTCTATACTAATACATGTAGCATAATAAACATTTTATCATGTAATACTGAGTATACATTTTGTATGGGATTTTGAAAAAGAACAAATGCACCAATTTCAGACATATTCTTGATGAGTTTTACAAATCTCTATATAATAGACACAGGTATAACATTCAGTTCATCATGTTCTTTACAATGATTATGATTTCACATTGAATGAAATATTACATTTTTAACAACAAGAACTTAAGTCAATCACTGCATCTCAATTACATCTAATGGGTACTATGTGACGGTATCATATCAAATTACTGAAAACTATCATTTTCCTTTAGTGATGTGTAAAAGGTATTCACCACAAAAATAGAGGGTGGTCAGTTGGCGCAGAGGTAACGCACTCGCCTTTCACCTAGCCGTTCGGGGTTTGACTCCTGGAACGGACGTGAAAAGGTTAGGGTCACCTGTCCAACCATGTGGGTTTTCCCCGGGTACTCCGGTTTCCTCCCACAATAAGACCCCTCGCGTGCTTACATCCGGGCCAACAAGATTAGTATTAGTTGAAATAACTTGTTTTGCAATTATTGTAAAATAAGTAAAGTTTAAAGTTTTAATAGTTGAAAATAGTTTGACTTATTTACAAATACAGTTGAAACTTGTTGTCTCGAAATTGCTGGAGACAAAATAATTTTGAAGTCTCCTTTTTTCCCATCTACATTGTACATAAACATCTGTAACAACATTTTTTCATTGGATGTTGTTTCTTATTGTGAATGTGCACAACAAAACAGCACACTGAATTTCCTGAGACCAATAACAGTGATTGGTGATTATCTTAAGAGATTTTAACTTTAATCAAGGGGGGGGGGGGGGGGGGGGGGGGGGGGGGGGGGCGGCGTTTGCATGCACAACATGTTTATCAATATTTTCACTTTGATTTCAAAGTCCAAATCAATTTCAATATTATAAATAACAAATATAATAGATTCCAAACGAAGTAGTATTTCAAGAAAAGAGACTTTTTAGTATCAAGAAATATCATAAACAATTTTATTTTCACAGTAAAAATATGGTTTTATATGACAAGCATATATGTATTAAGCTTTCCACAAAGGTTGCTTTTGTGTAACTTGTCAAAAGGGCTCAGTTGATCTGGGACTATTCCATGATACAAGAATGCACATGTACTGGATGTTGGAACTGATATATGTAAAGTTCACAGGTTTGGAATTTCCTGTCAAGCATAAAACAGCAAACTGAAAATAAGATACCATCCATTTAACTCATACTTAATAGCAAAAAGCTTTTCAGAAATACATGAGTGCACTGACCCTGCTTTAAACTGAAAATCTGAAAAACTAATGATATTCAGTAAGTTAGTTTCAGACACTACAGCTTAGCCCCTCAATCTGCCAAATATTCCTCAGTCTACACTCAGCTGTACCTGACATTTTTCTTGTGAAATGCGAAAGAGACCACACACTGCATATTGTATCAACATTACAGGACTATTTTTGACAAAACAGGTTATTTTCGAATTTGTGAACATTTAACATTCAGTGAAGTGAAGGACTGGTTCAATATGATTTCCACTTGTCAATGCAGATAACTTTACATCATGGCTATATTAATCCTTCTGATCAGGGTAGGTATTGCATACAATGCCTACCTGTGACAGGCATATGTGCCAGGGTGCAAAGCTTATAACTTATGCCTCAGGTCAGGGCTTTCACACCCCATTTTGGGACTGGGACCCGGGGCCCTTAGAATTGGGCAAGATAGTGACGTTTTCCTTAGAATTGGGAAAGTTTGAGGTCTAAATTGGGGAAAAAAAGGATACTATTTTACATTGGGAATGGGCCCGAATATTGGCCCCAAATCTAGCATATCGAGAGCCCTGCAGGTGGTGATTTTACTAGCCGCTGGTAGGAATTTGGTTCTCGATATTTCAGGTAAGGACACTTTTCAGAACTAATTTTTAGTAAATTTCAATCATTTTCGGACACAATATAGGTTCAGTATTTGGATATGTATTGGGGAAAGTTTTTATTACTATAATAAATAGGGCTTTATTCTGTACATGGTCATTTTGTTCAGTTTCATGAGGTAATTGTTTTTGAAAAAGATTGGTTTGGGGAAGTTGCACTGTATGATCAAACGTTTATTAATTATAACTTGAACCTGAACAAGAAGAAGAGGTACTTACACAATATGTTTCAAAATCACTGGGAGCAGAGACACTTACAAAATATTGCCATTACACCTTGAAACAAAATTTTGGTTTTGCCAATATCCAGGAGGTATGGCACATACTACTCTACTGTCTGTCTCCACTGATACATACCAGCCATGGTTCCTTTCCCATCAGCATGTTCACCCACAGTGGGAACTCTGTGTGTTTATCTACTGTCGTCAGAGCAATCAGACGTTTCCTGTGTTCACAATAATACACCTAGAAAACCAAAATTCATCAATGTTACAGGTAATGAGAAACTTTCTTAGTTAAGGTATAGAAACACTTATACTGCCCTGAAGATGGGGTGTAGGAAATGTACGTGTTATCCTCACTGTATGATCATATGTGACATCAGGGATATCTGTCTCTCTTCTAGATCAACTTCACAACAAGTTTTTATTTCCTGTTGTCTAACTTAAAAATCCTTGCTTCTTTCAGCCATAGTGCTGAGAATCTGTAGAAACAAGAGAGGCTATAGGTTCTGCTTCCTAACAAAACAAACTAAAGTGTACAAAATAAGTACCTACTGCTCTAGCTTGGCCCAATATATTCAGCTTTGTATGGGCTGAATAAACTGGTAAGCCTGATGTCATTGCAATGTGACCCCATGGGGAGTTATGTTACATGGGGGTGATATTAAGTGTGTTTGAGCTATGATAAAGTCCTTGAGTGACTCCATTATCTGTGGGCACAAAGTATACTTTAGCTGTTACATTATAGAAATCTCTTAACAAACAAAAAAAACTGAACATCTATTAAACTCATCTCGTATACATCTAAATTTACCTCTTATACACCTGATTATTTTTTTACCTCATACACATGTACGTTTACCTTGCCAGCTCATATATTGGTCATCTCTGTCTCAGGCAAATGGGTCAATACTGAAGGCAGTAAACATTGGATCCATATCTAATACACTTAAGGATTATGCATTTTATAAGCCAAGCATTGTATCTAAAGCCAGTAACTCAGAGGAAGCCTACAACAGGGGAGGTAATCACTAACCTGCTGTTGACATGTCCGTGATGCCCCAAACTGTTCTGACAGGATAGCTAGTATGACACCAGCATCGTCAGCTTTCTCCTGGAACACAGCATTGTTGTTTTGTTCTTCCTCACACAAACTAACCTGGCTGGACTGAGACAGTCTCCCTAGATACACAAAGAGGAATAAAACCACATTATCTCAAAGGAATATTGCTCCACTACAGATTCCCTCTTACTTATAAAATATCTTTACCCCACCTTAACCTCAGATGTTTGATGGAATTGAGCTAAACTCTTATTTTTAAAATGAAAATCATAGTACGTTTTATGCTGGAACTTTACAAGATTTACCTGGAGGACTTGATGGTAAAGAGTCAGGGTATGTTATATCTAGTTGCGTTGAGAGCCAGACTTCAAATCCCTCATCCAGTAACCAATCCTTCAACTTGCTTCCCTATAGTCAACAGTAGAACCAAACCATCATCATTTCATTAATGACAGGTATATATAAAAAATAGTTTAAGATATACATACATATAATGGTTTTTTAACATAAACTACTACTAAGTTAAATATAATTATGTGTCATAAAAGATTTTATCATTGCTGCTGAAAATAACACTAGTGCTTGTATACTGGACTCACCTTTTCTTGCTGTTGAGGATGGAGACAAATGACTATCAAGGGGAGACCATCCCGATTGGTTGTTATGGCTTGTGAGTTTGAACAGCTCACCATGGCACAGCTTTTCACAATTGTTTTCTGAAATTGTATATGATAAATGAAACAATAAATAATCAAATCTATCAATCAAGGACATATTTTTCTTTAAGTCAGATCCGTTCAAGGAAATTGAAAAAAAAATCCATTCCTACAGAAATGAACACAGAAAAAGTAACAGGACTGACCCTCTTCACAAGGGAGGGAACTCTGGATGACTGCCAGCCTTGGTTGACTCTATCAGCCACTTTTGATGCCACTGACAAAACATACTTTTTGTCCCACCTCCGGAAATCATGAACAGACTCTCCAAGGCCTTCAGCCATCTCTGTAGAAGAGAATATATAAACATTCTGTTTAATAGAAATGTTACCTGTTTCTTAATTTTACAACATTTACATACAAGCACAATGGAAAATTTACAGACTGAATTAGAGAATTATCTATCCAACAATTAACACAAATGCACACTTCACCTTGAAACAACTCTCAAAACAAAGATGGCCACGTATTCATTCAAAGCTGATCATTTGAAATCAACCAATTCAGTCAATTCAGTCAATGGGACTTTGTTTTCCTACGACACCAATCAGAATAACATGCTTCCTCACCTGTTTCTATCTGCATGGGACTTTTCCAAGCGATATACTGTGTTGTAGCAAACTGGATAGCAAGACAGCGAGGGGGCCATTCTTTCAGAAAGTTTACAGGTAATATAAACTTCCCTAAGACATCAGCAAGCTTCACCTGACATGATTTTAATCAAAGACTTACTACAGTTAAATAAAACATGAAATAGAATTGTTGTACATGTATCAATATTTTGTTCTTCAGAGTCTTTTTCTTCTTAAATTTTGGATAATTCAAAATTATTACATCAGTATATTTCTGTGAATTTCATGTATAAATGTATGCACATTTGAATGAGGATTCCATTTACCTACATCGTACTTTAAAAAATGTTACTTTTATTCCTCAAAATGAGCATCTGCTGGTGTGGTGATTTCACATTGTATAATTAAAATGACTTGTTCCTATAGAAGACTGTACCTCTCTGTTAGTCCATTGTGTTTCTCCGTAGACAGGTGTCACCAAGGGCACAAATATTTCACAATTACTGACAGCATAGTTCAGGGAGTCTTGCCAATCAACACCAGATTTTATTTCATCAACATCCTATAAAAGGTAAAATAAAAAATGTCAAAAGTTTAAAAGTTGACTGATAGCAGAACCACCACTAATGAGGTTCCAATAAAAACTTAATATCGGATTGCTTTGATGTACCACATATAGCAATTTGTGAAAAACAAAAAACAAAAAAGAAAAGAAAAACTGTCATCACTGCCTATGAGGCAAGCAGTCTGATCCTTGCAAGATATGTATATTGTATACATTTTGTGCACAGTACATTGAATATTTTTTACACAACAACATTTCAAAAAATACTAACAATATGAATACCTGATATATCATAAACTCCTTAAGAACGTTATACATATGAATCCCTTGGATTTCAGCTATACTTGACATAACACATTTCAAATTCCTTGAAAACTTTATATAACAAATCTTGAATCCCTTGGATTCCTGATATAACAAAACATCCTAAATATCATTGGATACCTGATCATGCATTTTTTAAATACATCAAATACCATCAGATATATTATCTAATTTACCTAAATTATCATGTAGATTGATAATAATTCTAAATACAGTGAAAAAAAATGTTTTTAAATGTCTGTCATGCTAACCTTTGATGAAAAGTATACTCTTTTATCATCAAAAAACAGTGCAAATCATTTCAAAAATGAGATTCAACCTTACCAAATATACACTACAGCCAAGGGCAGATAACTGGTTCTTTAGCTCCACAGCATGCTGAGCTGCCTCAGCCCTAACATAGCTGATCAGGATTTGTTTGGAGCTTGGTGTCCAAGGCTCTGGTGACTCCAAACATCGTGAGATGTCCTTGACAGAGCGGAAAGATAACGGAGAGGATCTATAACAAATAGGATTATCTCAGTATACCAGGTAATAGAGCACAATATACATCTTCAAATGTCAATATCTCCTTTTTTAGTTTCAACATTTCATTGTTATAATATGTGTATGAACATATCTCATATGACAGTTCCTTTTCAGAGAGTTTTTCAGTTGGACTGGTTTCAACAAATCAAAATCAGACAATGATATCTTCATGCCAATGATCTGAAGTAGACATTAAATCATGACATGTTCTTTTGCTGGTTTGCTTTTTGGGAATAAAGTCTACTTACCTTGTAATCTAGACAGTAACATCACAATATCTTACTCAAATAATCTAGTTTTAAATATCAAAACACAATCTTTGCCTACATATTTAAGTTACCCTCTGCACTAAATTAATCTTAGTAATTTCATCTGCATTCTCCATAACTCATTTTTTAGTTCATCCCCTTACATCATAAGTCTAAATATCATAGTAATCATTCAACATGGGTTAACCAAATGCATTTTGGATGACACTGATACTGTCCAGTATGTCATACCCTGGTCAGATTTGGTGTGGAGGGACCTACCCAGCAACATTTTCTCCTAGCACATGTATTTCAGTTTTATCTTGCATCAATACCCCTTCTTTCATAAACCTAATACAACAGAATTTCTGTAACATCATATTCCAAACCTTATCTTTCTTCCATCTGGACAACTAGAGTGATACTTAGATCTCATAAATTTGTGTTAAGTTTGCTGTCCAAGAACCAAACTTTCTCTACAATCCTCACCCTTGTAATCTTGGTCGTTTACATGGTGGTTTGTACTCTGGAGATTCTGACATCATCAGATCTAGATTGGAAGTCATGTTGATGAGCACTTGAACACAGTTACCTAGCAAAACATCAAATACTGTCAGTGTTGACTCCTGACCATCAGACACAGGCCAGCCATTAGGATCAAGGAAAACAAACCCATCTCCACTTCCAATGTCCTCTCCAGTACCTCGGGAAAACAGCTACAATCAAAGTAATACAGTCTAATACATGTGCTTGGTGTTACGTTATATGAGTAATAAATAAGTAAATAAGTTAAAAGGCAATGCTGCCTCAGTATTTACATATATCACATTGCATAAATGTCACTATCCAAACACTCTTCATTACTTTTATATCGCTAATTACACACAGACTTGTGATAAATAACATGGCCACTTGACATGAAAAAAGGCCATGTTTAAGATTCAAGAAACATTTCAGTTGTTCATTCACCACTGAAATCAAATAAATATTTTTAAACAAACACAACACAATTTGATTATGTTATCTGACCTGTTTGTGATTTATCTCCTTAGTTACATTATATTACTACTACATGTAATGACCTACCTGCTTTTTAATGATGTCTCTAATTGATGCCAGAGTACAGGTGTACTCCACAAATACAAACCCAAGGGCTTCGCCATTTTTAGATTTAATTCCAACTTTTGGTTTGTCTACAAATTTAAACATTAACAGAATTCTGTAAAACCATAATTTGAAAACAAACCTGACAAATTTGTGCTAATATTCCTTAACAATGGGCTTTCAGTTATAATAATTCTTTGTATATTCAATTACTTTATCTAACATTTCCTAATTTTTGAGACAAGCAACTAAGAACTAAGGATAACATTATCAGTCAAATCAATGTTTTGTAAATAATACAACATAAGAAATATTGAAGACTATTGACTGGATTCAACAGTCCATATCTTTATCTTATCAGTATGACAGAAATTATGTAGAAAAAACAAAGTAAAAAAAAAAGGTATTTTGTAAACTCTAAATATAACTTATATCAATTTCAGCATAAAGATGAATACAGGTAAGTAGGCAGATTATTACCATGGCTAGGCTGTATACAAACAGTTCCTTCCTCTGATATGACACTTCCTATCATTATAGAGTTCTCTAAAGTCTTGCCTATAGTCCATCTATCAAAAGTAAAACATCAAAATTTAGACTCCCACTATCATACATCAGCATGATATATTTCTAAATCAAATTTGATGCAGAAATAATCAATGAATTATCTTTGTCATGCTTTCACATGCATCGCTTCATTTAACATTCACTTTTGATACCTATGATATGACTGATACATGTATAATCAAATACAACTTTGTTTTTAACATTATGAATATTCCTTACTAACACACATGTGCCAGGATCAACATCTTAAAGAAATAGAGTTACAAAAGCACCCCACAGTACTGAAAAATAACACTCAGGGTCTGTGACTACATCTGTATTAACTCTGTATAACTGTTTCCTGTAAGTTGCAATTATTCGGTATAAACCACAGTTGTAATTACATGTATTCTGAATAATCTACAGTTGTAATTATACTATTCAAACCACAAGTGTGACTATGCTGTATATACCACAATTGTAATTATGCTGTATATAATCTACAGTTGTAATTATTTGATATAAACTGCAGTTGTAATTATTCTGTATAATGTACAGTTGTAATTACCGTGTATAAACCAGAGTTGTAATTATTGTGTACATACTAATATTCTTTGAAATAAACAGTTGTAGGCACTCTGTATATTCTTAATAACACTGCTAAAATCAAGATCAAAACTATTATGAAATGAAAACTAATTTAAATTCCTATTCATCAAATAACCCAAAAATATATATTAACAGGTTTTAAAGACAAAATACAATAATGGGGAACAATATCAAATAGAAGCAGCCATTAGCTTGCACCATTTTCAATATATGACATAATGTCATTGCTCATATTATCACATGACAATCACTTTCTGACTGTGTAGCCATTGAAAAATGCTCCTGGGTACTGTGTGTACATTACATTATCCGGTAATACATCTGCAAAAACATTATATGAACAAGTTCTTCACTGGATAACTGGCCTATTATGTAAAAAACTAGCAAACGAACACAGGTACGGAACACAGTAAATCCTGTATAAACATATTTTTAAGTGTGATTCTATATGTCCTGTAGATGTGTTTACAAGGAAATATAACTAATTCTTACCCTTGCTTGGTACAAAATGTGTAACAACTTGGCAGAAAATCAAGATGGTCACTTAACATTGGTCTCAGATGGTCCAGACAGCTGTTCAGGATAGACCTTTCAGCAAAGATCACACCAAGATGGGTGGGTCGCTTTTCTTGGTCATCCCCATTTATCAAGTTAATCCCTATCAAAATGTTGGGGTTGTGTACGGCACAAGTCATGGTATTCTCATCTGGAAAAATAATCAAATATTTCAAAGATGAAATGACAGTGACCAAGTCCCAGGAGTCGAACATAGATCAATGTAATACTGAGCCAATTCTACGACCATACTTGTAATCTTCATTGACTTTCAACTGCAAATAACGATATAAATCCATCAGGTAAACTTTGTTCAACTGAATTAGATTCTGATCAAGATTTTGCAATTAACATTAGAAGGAAAAAAAGAACTCTTTTTCTGAATATTCACATTAGTCTTGACAACACAGTAATCAAAACAAGAAAATACCAACATGTACTAAATGTTGATTTTTACAATTTTAAGAGAAAATCCTGAATTAGAAAATAAGATGAAATCATGTGAAATCAAACACAAACATAATAATATGTTTAAGCAGGGACGTATATAAGTCAAGCCCTTCAAATCTCTCATCATGAAATACGAATTTAGATATTTAACGAGGTAATGGTGACTGCATATAGGAAATATGTTTTTTTTCACATCCCATCCGTATGGTAAGGATAAAAGTACAAGATGCAAGTGCAGTTGCATAAAACAATGTAGATTTATCACAATTCATTAGATTTCATGAACAACTCCTATACTTACTAACTGTTGTGAGAGGCTCTGTTAGATCTAGAGTGCTGTTACCGATACTTATATCTTTGTCTGTGTCCTGATCGTCATCCTCATTCTTCTCCATGTCACGATCCTAAGCAAAATATTGATATACACACATTTGTACATAAGCAGGATCTTAAATGAGATTCCATTTAATTATGTTTGTGGTTTATGAAACATGCACGCAGAACAATTTCAAATTAAATGAGCCTTTGATGAAATAAATAAGATGCGACCAGTTTCATCAAAGACATTAAACCTAAAAAACATTTAGCACGATAGCTTATTCAGGTAAATATTATCATAAACAGACATACAGTACACACATATTCGTTCAATACAAAAGGTCATCGTGTGATCGTTCAATTAACGAGGCCTACACCTAAAATGCATTATGAGAGTCCCGTGTCGTACAGCAGTCATACCTAGACAAACTTCTGCGCGCTAAATTCAAGTAGATGTTTTTTATTTAATCAAAGTAAATCCAGCCCTTCAAATGGACACACAGTTATTCAAGCAAAACAAGCAGAGAAATGACTCAGATTGATAGTCGGCGTGCTTTCAATTATATATTTAGACTGGTAACTTCATATATTGACTTTACCTTCCGATGGCTACACCGATTTGTTTGGTTCTTGAGTTTAGACCGTGTATTTGTTTATAGACGTTCTAGTTAAAGACATTTATAAATATTCACCGTAAACCAATTTCAGACCACACAAGTATATCCATACCCATAAAAGGAGAAAACTAAAATCCATTTTAATACCGTAACGTTAACTTTATGAAACATGTAATTCACTAAAAGTTTATAACCTCCCCAGCCATATTTTGAAATTTCTTTCGACACCAGTTTTGATTTACACGTGACACAGGTACATACGCATATGCATTTACCGTTACGTTGAGATCATCCCGTTTCGGAAATAATGAAGTCTATTGAATTATGGGGTTACGGTGCACTTTCTCATCTATATCTTTACATATCTCTCTCTATATATATTCCTATATAATCCAACGGGTTTCGAACACCTGCGGTATTCAATGGGTATATGGAAGCGTGTTGTTTACGTACCACTTTCTGATCTACTGGATTTAATTGACGATCGTTCGAATATTGTCAGTTGTATCAGAAGTAGTGATGATACAGCATGTAGATGTAGGTAGATGCTGAGAATCTTGGCTGGATGACTCAACTGCGATGTAACCGAAAGATACAAAGTAATCATGACGTGTCTATCTGTCACCAAGATATTAAAAAAAAAAATAAAATTACACCATTAAATTACCAGGTTAACTCGTGAAATCGGGTAAGGTGGTGATAATAATGTAAACGTGAGTTTGTTCTTTCCTTCTGGGGCCCCTGTGTCTAATTGTAAGAATTTTATTGCGGCAAAGACAATATGCATACTGACGGAGGAAGATCGAAAAGTTTTATGACCGATACCCGTGATGATCTCATTGGAGTATATTCTTTTTATTTGGCTGATATGAAGTAAAATATGTTTGATACTCGTTAGTATGTCTTGTGGGTTTGTTATAAATTCGGTTCCCATTTGAGTGTGTAAATTACCGACTTGGATTTCCAATATTTACATAAGCGTTGTCGTCGACGAAGCAGGAGACGCTTGACCTTTCGTACCTATCCAATGCTTTCCATGTAAATATTTCTTTTGTTCATGTTTTGCCCTCGTTTCACCGCTCTCGAGTTTAAATTAACGTTTTTGTCAACATTTTGGTATCTTGTGTTCTGCTGCCATTTCCGATATGTTACTATTTATTTAAAAAAGGTCTTCCGCTGTACGGTTTATAAAACATATATGAGACAAAAATGTATAACATGTAAACAGATATCGATGTTTGTTTGTCACAATGATATATCTGTTCTGTTACATGTAATGAATTACCTTTGTCAACACGAAATTTCTCCTTCCTTTCAAAAGAAAAAAAAATGGATTTATTTATTTAGCTATCTATTCATTCAGTTATTTATTTGTTCATTTATCTATTCATTTGAAGAAGTTAACGAATCCAATTCATTTTTAAATATTTTGGTTTATAAACCATTTGACTAGTTTTTCTGTTATACGAATTGAGTGTTCACGTGACAAGATGTATCTTGACCAATTAAATGAGAGAAATATTGAACTCTGTATTTACACTGAAGGACATTTAGATCAGTACTATATTTCTTGTGTTCGAATGTTTAGTGATTTTGTATTTTACCTCTATCTACGTACACGTGCGTACACAGAACATATACCTGTATATGTACTGCCAGTTGTATTGACTTATTTAGTAGATTCGGATATGATAAATCATAATATTATCTGTCTGTAACTTTGACGAATTTAAATATCGTCTACTGTCATGATAGTTGTTTGTTATGTGTATGGCTTTTATGTTTATCTAGTGGGAATGACCTGGTGACGTTTTGTTTTAAAGGGGACTTTTGTACATTGTCGATACACAATGTTAAAAAATGTACTGTAATGAAAGGGTTAAACACGCGAGTTAAGCTTTAAACAGTAGCAATGTGGAATAACATTAATTCTACTTCTGACGTAGTGAACAAATAGTGTAAGATTATTTAAATCGTCATGGACGGAAAAAAGAAAAACACAAAAATCTCCCAAAAATCATATGTGTGGTGTTTGTATATCGAAACTAATTAAAGCCCTGTGGAAAGGTGAGGAACCTTCTGTTCATTTGGTAGAGGGTAAGGGTATCAGGGAGGTCGGAGGAGATCGTTTATAAGGTTCAGGAATAGTTCAAGGGCTAAACTGACTTCATTCATACGCAATGTTAGGTATAAGCACAGTGGGAATTTAGAGGATCACCGGTGTAAAGACACAACGAGTTAAATCACGGCTGTTGAACGCCTGTTTTATAGATACACATACACATACAATAAGTAACGTCCATACAAGCATTCAATACTGAAAAACAAAACACTGATATTTGTTCCAATTAATTACAAAACAAGTAACGACAAATGCTGCTAAAACACGTTATCTAGCTGGTGAATGGTATCGTGTTAGAATTATGAGAACGGTTTCCACTGGTAAAGACATGTACATATCCAAATGAGTTAACTTACATGTACATGCATCAAGAATATTTATCAATTGTGAACTTTTGATTTCGGTGAACATGGTGTTATATCAACCTGGTAGAAAATTATTGACCGCGGGCGAGGTCATTACTATTTTTGCTAGTAAATGCAACACCATTTTGACCGAAATCAAAGGTACTTAAGAGATGTATTGGTAATTACTTTGGATATATTCATGAGGTAGTCTTATCTTGAAACTGAACATTTAGACCAACACATTATAGTCAACAAATGTCTTCAAATATCTTCTTAACATAGCACAAAATGTCTAAAATATTTTAATTTCAAAAATGTCTGAATTAGAATATAAGCTTTTAGACATGTAAATCAATATAATATTTCTGGGTCTATATCATCAGGTTGTTGTAAATTTTTAAATATGGAGTCCTTATGGTCCTGTTGTTCTATCATACTGTGTGTGTTTTTATTTTGTTTCCTATCACATTAGTTACACTGAAAATCTAGATCCGTTTCATCAACACGCCCTCATATGGTAGACTATAGATAACGTATCATCGCTTTCAGACATTGCACTGAAGCCGTCATAGACAGATACTGAACATGAATTATAATTAACTGATGTTAATCTATAGTCTGCTAGATACTAAATTATGACTGCGTTCGATTTATTTCAGGATTTTAGCAGTTTGTAACTGTATGGTCGTATAGCGATGTTTGTTAGGGGGACACCATACACAGGATACAGGTAAAAGAACGACTAAGAGAAAAGGAGAGTTACATCATTTCAATAAATATGGCGTTAAAAATTGAAGTTTCATTCCAATTTGTTGATATGTAATAAGCTCGGTGAGAACATGTAACTACCACAGTTAAATACTGATAATTTGTCAGGGCGTATTGAAATTATCTTAAAAATTGCGTCCTTGAATTAAGAGAGTTGGATATGTCAGAAGTAAGAGAGAGGGACCTGTCTGAAGTGAGAGAGAGGGACCTGTCAGAAGTGAGAGAGAGGGACCTGTCAGAAGTGAGAGAGAGGGACCTGTCAGAAGTAAGAGAGAGGGATCTGTCAGAAGTAAGAGAGAGGGACCTGTTATCGAAAATGTTCAAAAAAGCATAAAGTGCCATAAAGTTCCATTAAACAAAAAATAAATATATTTCCCCCCAATATTATTGAATTTGAGATTGGATTATCATTATGTTGACATGTTGGTATTTTCTTGTTGTTATTTTGCTACCCAGACGACCACGTAACCATTGAGAATAATACACGGGCGACAATATGTTTTCCCACAATAACACATGCTTAGCTTTACAATTCGATCAAAAAGAAGAATTATTTTTATTACTTTTTATCGAATCTGTTTTTAGCCCAATACATATCAATATAACCACCAGTTTACCACGAAGTATCATCGATACAGACTTACATTTTGTATCATCGTTCACCAGTAATACCTGATTTATGATAGTTTTAATATAGATTGTTTAACACACAAGGATATTTCCACTTAACACGCTTTGTACGCTATATGACCCGAGCGTTGGTAACCCTCAGAGTGTAACCATTTTCTATAAGTTTTAGTGGTGAAACTTGTATAATTAGAAATTTGTTAATTAGTATATGAACACATGACTAAAATTGTTTGAATGCACTATTTTTGTACATATCTATTATGTTTTGAACTTAGTCATCGCATTAATATCTGTAATACATTTTAGTTAATTATGGAAAAACGATTCTGAGGAACAAAATTGTTCTTTTTCCCCCTTTTGTTCATTCAATAATTTTCAAATAATTTATTTTTTGTGTTTTCTATTAAGTACTATATATTATACCTTGTGCGTGTTGTTGATTATGCTGATATACAACACTACGAATTAGTAGTTTAACTGATGTATATAACGATGATTTCATGTGTTAGCTGAAGGTCGTGCCCCGCCACTAAACTCGACCGTCAGTACATCACCCCCTTGGATTGCCTTCTGCCCGACCTCTCGACCCAGTAAACGGCAACGATTGCGTCGCTGGATAGAATCTCTGTGAACCGTAGCCTCCTGTCAATGTCCCAAAGGTGTTGTTTACAGGGCCAATGGCTTGTATATATAATAGACAAACATTACTACTTCCTCCCTTTGTAGATTTTAAGTCATCCAAGTAATCACCCCATCAACTACTACTCATAGTGATCTTTTGATTTGTGTCACAGATATCATACACACCTGTAAATATCTAGTATTAACAGTGTTTTAACAATTTAACATCTGGTAAATTTTAATCATCAATAATTCAATGTAATTTATCAGGTTTTTGGATTTGATAATTCTGGTACATCCTGTTATTATGTCACGTAAAACATCTGAGTACACCCTGGTATTATGTCACGCAAAACATCAGAGTACAACCACGGACTTATGTGTATATAAGTCCGTGGTACAACCTGGTACTATGATTTGTAAAACATCTGTGTTCATCCTGTTATTATGTTATGTAACTCATCTGAGTACACGATGGTATTATGTCACGCAAAACATCTGAGTACACCCTGGTATTATGTCACGTAAAACATCTGAGTACACGATGGTATTATGTCACGCAAAACATCTGAGTACACCCTGTTATTATGTCACGTAAAACATCTGAGTACACGATGGTATTTTGTCATGTAAAACATCTCAGTACAACCTGGTATTATGTCTTGTAAAGCATCTGAGTACACGATGGTATTTTCTCACGTAAAACATCTGAGTACACCCTGGTATTATGATTTGTAAAACATCTGAGTTCATCCTGTTATTATGATTTGTAACTCATCTGAGTTCATCCTGTTATTATGATTTGTAAAACATCTGAGTTCATCCTGTTGTTATGTCATGTAACTCATCTGAGTACACGACGGTATTATGTCACGCAAAACATCTGAGTACACCCTGGTATTATGTATTGTAAACATCTGAGTACACGATGGTATTTTGTCATGTAAAACCATGGTATTATGCCATGTTGAACATCTGAGTACACCCTGGTATTATGTTATGTAAAACATCTGAGTACACCCTGGTATTATGTTATGTAAAACATATGAGTACACCCTGGTATTATGTTATGTAAAACATCTGAGTACACCCTGGTATTATGTTAAGTAAAACATCTGAGTACACGATGGTATTTTGTCATGTAAAACCATTGTATTATGCCATGTTGAACATCTGAGTACACCCTGGTATTATGTTATGTAAAACATCTGAGTACACCCTGGTATTATGTTATGTAAAACATCTGAGTACACCCTGGTATTATGTTATGTAAAACATCTGAGTACACCCTGGTATTATGTTATGTAAAACATCTGAGTACACGATGGTATTTTGTCATGTAAAACCATGGTATTATGCCATGTTGAACATCTGAGTACACCCTGGTATTATGTTATGTAAAACATCTGAGTACACCCTGGTATTATGTTATGTAAAACATCTGAGTACACCCTAGTATTATGTTATGTAAAACATCTGAGTACACCCTGGTATTATGTTATGTAAAACATCTGAGTACACCCTGGTATTATGTTATGTAAAACATCTGAATTCACCCTGGTATTATGTTATGTAAAACATCTGAGTACACCCTGGTATTATGTCATGTAACACATCTGAGTACACCCTGGTATTATGTCATGTAACACATCTGAGTATACCCTGGTATTATGTCATGTAAAACATCTGAGTACACCCTGGTATTATGTTATGTAATACATCTGAGTATACCCTGGTATTATGTCGTGTAAAACATCTGAGTACACCCTGGTATTATGTCATGTAACACATCTGAGTACACCCTGGTATTATGTTATGTAACACATCTGAGTACACCCTGGTATTATGTTATGTAACACATCTGAGTATACCCTGGTATTATGTCGTGTAAAACATCTGAGTACACCCTGGTATTATGTCATGTAAAACATCTGAGTACACCCTGGTATTATGTCGTGTAAAACATCTGAGTACACCCTGGTATTATGTCATGTAAAACATCTGAGTACATCCTGGTATTATGTCATGTAACACATCTGAGTACACCCTGGTATTATGTAATGTAAAACATCTAAGTACACCCTGGTATTATGTCATGTAAAACATCTGAGTACACGATGGTATTATGTCATGTAAAACATCTGAGTACACCCTGGTATTATGTCATGTAACACATCTGAGTACACCCTGGTATTATGTTATGTAACACACCTGAGTACACCCTGGTATTATGTTATGTAAAACATCTGAGTACACCTTGGTATTATGTTATGTAACACATCTGAGTACACCCTGGTATTATGTCATGTAACACATCTGAGTACACCCTGGTATTATGTTATGTAACACACCTGAGTACACCCTGGTATTATGTTATGTAAAACATCTGAATACACACTAGTATTATGTCATGTAAAACATCTGAGTACACCCTGGTATTATGTCATGTAAAACATCTGAGTACACCCTGGTATTATGTCATGTAAAACATCTGAGTACACCCTGGTATTATGTCATGTAAAACATCTGAGTACACGATGGTATTATGTCATGTAAAACATCTGAGTACACCCTGGTATTATGTCATGTAACACATCTGAGTACACCCTGGTATTATGTCATGTAACACATCTGAGTACACCCTGGTATTATGTCGTGTAAAACATCTGAGTACACCCTAGTATTATGTCATGTAAAACATCTGAGTACACCCTGGTATTATGTCATGTAAAACATCTGAGTACACCCTGGTATTATGTCATGTAACACATCTGAGTACACCCTGGTATTATGTCGTGTAAAACATCTGAGTACACCCTGGTATTATGTCATGTAAAACATCTGAGTACACCCTGGTATTATGTCATGTAAAACATCTGAGTACACCCTGGTATTATGTCATGTAAAACATCTGAGTACACCCTGGTATTATGTTATGTAAAACATCCGAGTACACCCTGGTATTATGTTATGTCTAAGATCAAAATTGTTATCGATTTCTATTGGATTCATGAGACAATCATATGTCATGTTACAAACGACGACTCGGTTTCATGCCATAGAATGGTAAAAATAATTAAAAATAGCTGATTAACAAGAGTACCCAACTTATCTTCTTTGTAACAATGATTCGAACGAATAACAATTTATTTGCCTTTTTTTCACTTAAACTTTGTAGATGTTTACAATAGTTATTCTAAAACACAAAACAATGTAAACAATGTAATATAGCTGAAATGATATTCTTTGGAGCAAGAAGACTAATATAAAAAATGGTATGGCTATTTGTTAATTTACACTTTGCCGACAAAAATAATTTCCATCAATTGACATTTGATAGTAATTAAGATTTAAAACATGCACTCTTATATAAAGCCGAATGACCGAATGAGTAAATATATATTGGGGTGTATGTTAGCACTGCAAATTGATGAAATTCGCCAATTGATGATGTTATAGTTGTGTAATGGCATTTAGGGACCCGGACCGCTATTCAAAAGGACTGAAAAGCAAGCATAACTGATGCGTATATCGAAACTAGTTTTCATAACTTTTTATCGTGTATTTAAGTACGTAAGCTGTTACCATGTTTTTTACCTACATAACATAGACTTCAGATTGTTCAATCTGGGACAACTCTCGGTGAACATTATCAATTCTCTAGATTTTCTCAAAACAAGCAAAGAACTTAGCGATCTTGAGACAATAGCATGTTTGTGTGCATGTGGATGAGGGTGTGTGCGCGAGCGCCCGTTTTTTTGTTTGTTTTTTTAATTTTTTTTTTAAATTAATCTTTGAAAACCTTGAGTGACTAAGCTCATCAAAGCCATAAGACATATAAAATGTGAAAATGTTAAGAATAGTGACACGGAAAGGTTACGTAACGTCCAACGGTTTTATACTATACTTACGAACTTTGTGAATGTGCCCTAGAGGTCGTTTACTCCCATCCCAGAGTTCAACCACTGCTATCGATTGACCTCTGACCCCGGTGACGCACCAGTACACGTAAATCGAAGTATAAATATCAGCCATGACGCTTCACACAATTCCCTATAAAAAGAGGTAAGTTTCCAAACTTTATCTAGTTTGAAATTTTATGGTGTGCAAAACCTATTCTCATACAGAAAAAAACTGGAACTCTGTGTTTAACAAATTCATAGTTCTATTCTGTAACCACATATATAAGTATGTTGGAAACCGGATTTCTTATTTTTCTGATTATATTCCTTCTTGTCAAGTGTTTGGTGTCTAGAGATGTTGATAAATCCGCGTCCCTACCCCCGGGATCATTGGGATGGCCTATCGTAGGAGAGACATTCAAGCTTGCAGCACAAAAGGTAAGTAAACGAGCATGGCTTAGATAAAGTGTCATATGTAGTTGTTCAATTGCAACACTTACAAGTTTCTCATTTTATCCAATAACTTGTAAATCTTTCATCACTAGTCAATTATTCGTAGCAATGGATAGTGATTACAGCTTCCTATTACACTTCACATGCAGTTGTAAACAGTATCACGGGCGACTACTAGAAACAATGGTATAATGCACATTATATCGATATTTGGCTATGTTTATCGGAAAGTGCTATTTACATTCGTGTCTACAGTACAGTCCTTTGACGTATTTCGAACACTCACACTGTCATGTTGAAATTTACCTTCCTAATAATTCTAAGATCATGAGCAGTTCTAAAATCGTGCGTCCAGTAAAATAGACAACATAAATGGAACTGTGTTTATTTTCTGTTTTTTTTTAAAGATTTGGTGTCAGTTTGTTAAAGTCCATATTGAATGTTCACAGCAAGATGTACACGATCTTTCTTACAGCACGCCTCTTTATTCACTTTACGGTGTTTTCTTTCTAGGTAAACTTTTTCCGGGAGAAAAGGAGAATGTATGGTAGAATATTCAAAACTCACCTTTTTGGAAGTCCAGTCATTCGTGTTACTGGTAATAAAAACGTCAGAGAGATACTGCAAGGCGAGAACAAAAACGTGAAATCTAGCTATCCGACGTCCATTCGGACACTCCTTGGACCGAATGCATTGAGTATGTCTGAAGGCGTTCTTCACAAGAGCCGCAAGGTTCAGCTAATGCAGTACTTGTCCCCGGAGTTTCTCAGACAACACAGGACGAGATTTGTCAATCTTATAGACGATCATATGTTGCGATGGTGTTCGGAACCCTCTGTCGACATTTACTTAGGAATCAGAGCACTGTTCACAGAAATGGCGGCAAAATTTCTCGTTGATATTGACATACCAATGGAAACGAACCACAGAATCAAAGAATTGTACCAACAGTTCACTGACAACATGTTCTCTATACCAATCAACTTACCAGGGTTCGGCTTATATAAGGTATGTACACTCCCAGTAGAAATCTGATAAATGTATGTTTACAGAGCAGTGCTCGTGTCCATTGCTGATACATATCCTTTAATGAAAAGTAGATATGAACCACTGAGAAAAGCACATGCTACGTGTATCAGCCATCATGTATTAATAAGGTTCACGTCAGGTACAGTAGTACATATATAAATCGACATTACCATGTCCAGCCTGTAATATAACATATAAAAATATGTAAATTTCCCGTAACGCAATGTAAAATATAAGAATTCTGCGGTAAAAATCGTCATGTGTAAACGTAGTTTTGATTCCCTTGGATTAAGTTTACTTATGTTAACGTTTAACAGGGGTTGCAGGCTAAAAGAGAGCTTAAGAAAATATTTGCGGCCATTGTGAATAAAAATGGACGAAGCGTTGGTGAATTTCCCTCCGTACTACAAGCTTATGGTGCCGACTTGGCCGAACATGCAGACCCCGATGTTGATAAGTTACTTGACGCCATTATAGAATTGATGTGGAATGCCAGTGAAACAGTCAGTAGTGGCGCGTTCGCCATCGTCTATCACCTCACACAGAATCCCTCGGTGTTTCAGAAAGTTCGAGATGATATTGAAAGTCAAGACAAGTGTAATCATTCAGGACCAAGTTACTTGGACTATGTAGTGAAGGAAGCTCTGAGAACTACGCCACCTGTCGGCGGAGCGTACCGGAAAGTGATCAAGCCCATAGTCATGGAGGTATATCCGATTCCTATTATTATTATATTCCGAAAAATGAAATGAGAAAAACAAATTTCTATTTATCGTTCATGTGCTATCTTTACTATCCACACACTATGTATCTATATAATGTAAATAGCATTTATGTGTATAGTGAAATGATCACCTATGTACATTTTATACATGAATACGTTCGTTTATATGTGATGAACTTACGATAAATTTTATTTATTCATTTCAGGGATACACTTTTCCTAAAGACTGGACAGTGATCTGTGGCTTCCGAGACACGCACGAGAATGACGTCACACAAGTCGATCCAGGAGAGTTCAACCCCGATAGGTGGATTAGACCGTTTGATGGAGACGAGAGAGCGTCGTTCTTAACATTTGGCGGTGGTCTACGGATCTGCCCAGGAAAGAACTATGCCACTGTAGTACTTAAACATTTTACACGGCGACTATGTGATAGATTTGTCTGGAAGTTTCTCACAAAAGACCCGGAACTAGTTCTTTTTCCAGCTCCTAAACCGAAACACACATTACAAGCATGCTTTTTCGACAGGTTAAGTAAATCATGTTAGTTTGTATGCGCCAGTTAACATACGTTGTGATATCAGTGAATTGTCCTAATAACTATATGTAACATTACACTTAAGTGTAGACCATGTAGTTAGTAACATTTTACATCCGATCTCGAACAATCGATGACATTCCTGTGTACTGCTCTCAGCATGCAAACGAAAGCGACGCCATGATGTCACCCCATGGACATCAGCAAGGTGATGGTGGTGCTATAAATACGAAAATGTCCTCTGTGAGGCGATCATGACCTAGAAACGTCAGTGATGTGAGCAGGCGATTGATTGTCTATTCGCTGGAACCATTAAGTACTATCGGTATATCACAGAAAGATTTTATGAGCCCAAGATATTTTTGTGACCGGTGTTTGTCAATGAAAGAATGCATAACTTATTAATTACTTGATAATTTAAAAGAGTGATGAATGGTTGATGTTTGATATTGGCGTTCGTGTGCTTTCTCTGTATAATTATGGTCATGTATTTAATCTGTTGATACATATGCTGCTTTTTATTTTGTATTTCCATGTACATTCTGCATATTGCTTAGCAAAATGCAAACTTGACGAAATTCATTAGGAATTTGAAATATTTTACAAATATCAGAAAAATATCGATATTGAATCGATGAAATCATTCAAATCGGAAAACATATATTGTTTGTGAAGTCCCAAAACAGAGCAGGACTTTATATACATACCGGTGATATTTATTTTTTGTATTTGTTATTTTGAATAAATAAAGTGGTAAACACAACCGTTACTCATCTGTTTTCTCTGAATCATTACATACATGTATGTCTCACGTCTCACTCTGCAGGTCATAGTAGGACTTCGGACGTTGTGATTGGAGTTTAACTCTGAATACTGGTATCATATTCTTGGCCATTGAATAGTAATAACCTTAAGTCGGTATTCATCAAATTAAGACCGGTGTTATAAAGTCGATAGAACATCAGAATAATTGGTACTAGGTTAGAGGTAACTCGTGTCCATAATTCAAAGATCTTCTCACGATATAGTTTGATATTAATTTGCCATTTAACACTGATACTGAACCATATGACTGTACACTTGTAATTCAGAGTTTAGAAATGAGATGAAAATGTACAAGTTGATCATTTTATTTTTCCCCTGAATGATCGCTTATTACTTCAAACAAATAGCATACAGTTCCCAAACAACTTCCCAGTCTTGGCTCATTTATATAAAGTAATGATTGATAAATACATATAACGTTATCTGTGAACATGCTACATATTCAGGTTCTCGTTATTGGACGTACCGCTTTGTGAGCAGCATGCCTTCAAAGCGCTTAAATATGATTATGCAAAAGATTCAAGCGATATTTGAAAAATTATGATACCTAAATTTCTTGCTGGCGATATTGATTTGTTCGTAAGATTTCAAGCCCGGATGTAACTAATTAGACTTTCCTTACATAGTCAAAGGCTTTATTTATAGATGTAGTTTTAAGCAGAGTAATCTTTCATTCTTTTATGTTTACAGTTCCAGGCTGATTTCAAATTTCTTAGTTAACTAAATTGTTCATTCATTTTCTTTTTGTTTATAATTAAAGCAATTCGATATTACATATGTGACATACATAAAACGGGTCGTTCCTGTTTTCGTCTGTACGACTGTTGGTCGGTTTGGTATTTTCCATTCTGTAAATACCGAGTAATTACCACAAAATGGGTTTATCTATAGGTCACAATAAATCTACCCGAATAATTCGGGCGTGAACTCGTTAAGAGTTGTGAATGGAATCACGGAGGTAAGGCGAGGACAGTGAACGGATAGACACGAGTCAATTCAAACATATCTAAAAACAAGAATTACCAGCAGAGCGACCCACGTGTTGGTCAGCATGACAACTTCCATAGTAGTGGATAAAAACAATAACGTAAAGATCACTCTATTATTCTAATACTGATACCAAAACTATTATTGTCAAATTGTCTCTTTCTATGATGTATAAACACAAGTGACGTATTACAACTGGATACATCTGCTAGATATATGATCACTTCAAAGCAGAAATAAAAATATGATAAAAACAATAGCAAACACATCAAGAAAATACCAACATGGCAACATCATCATAATTCAAACCCAAATTCAATAAAACCAGGGCAAATTTTGAACAAAAGAAAGATTTACATGGAGACTCCTGAAAAAGTACAAGGTGAAGAAGTCCAGATGTTCCGGAAGAGTAAGCGTCTTCTGCTTCATCGACGACACACGCCATGTAAACCTTGGTCAATCCAAGTAAGTAATGTTACGTTCTCAAATGAGAACAAGGTATAAAACAACGGAAACGACAGATAAACAAACGAGCATCAAATACGTCCGGCTTCATGTCACATAAAGAAAAAGAATATTTCTCAATGAGATCACTATGGCGACCATAAATTTCCAATCTGCATCAACATGTACTAAGTACAGTAAACAAAGGGAATTTGTCTGCCAGCGTTAAGCTATTGATGTTCTAATAGCGACCAAGTTCACACTTCTGTATCCGGGCGAAATTACAAATAACAACATAATTTCAGGAACAAAAACTTAAATACGGTTTGGGTGAACTTTATTAATGTAACAAGTAACATGTAAATACTCGTTAAATTGACTTCATTAGTAATTAATTTTCTATATTTAAATGTAATAGTTTCCATGTTTTATTTTGCTGAAGAATAAAGAAAAGTTGTGATTTATTGAAAGTACATTGTATATAGGCTGTGTTTCATCAGCGTTGGTGTAGAAACTGGTAACATCATACAAAGTTCCTGACGTAGACTGAAGGTGGACTGGAAGGAAAAAAGACCGTGACAGTGACAAAGAACGCTTGCTGCATAAAACAGTTATGTGGTATCAGGCACTTGGTCGGATATGTATGTAGTGTAATAGAGTTTACGGCGATAATCATTTGTAATTTGTTTAAGTCTCATCAACTATCAATAACAAAATGTATATTGAGTTTATCTAGTCTTGTTACTGTGTGTTGGATATGAGTTAGACCAAGTTACCATGGAGATTATCTAGTCTTGTTACTATGTGTTGGATATGAGTTAGACCAGGTTACCATGGAGAGTATCTAGTCTTGTTACTATGTGTTGGATATGAGTTAGACCAGGTTACCATGGAGAATATCTAGTCTTGTTACTATGTGTTGGATATGAGTTAGACCAGGTTACCATTGAGTTTATCTAGCATTGTTACAATGTGTTGGATATGAGTTAAACCAGGTTACCATTGAGTTTATCTTGCCTTGTTACTATGTGTTGGATATGAGTTGGACCAGGTAACTGTTGAGTTTATCTAGCCTTGTTACAATGTGTTGGGTATGAGTTCGACCAGGTTACCATGGAGTTTATCTAGCCTTGTTACTATGTGTTGGGCATGAGTTAGACCAGGTTACCATTGAGTTTATTTAACCTTGTTACAATGTGTTGGATATGAGTTAGACCAGGTAACTGTTGAGTTTATCTAACCTTGTTACAATGTGTTGGGTATGAGTTAGACCAGGTTACCATGGAGTTTATCTAGCCTTGTTACTATGTGTTGGGTATGAGTTAGACCAGGTTACCATTGAGTTTATCTTGCCTTGTTACTATGTGTTGGATATGAGTTAGACCAGGTTACCATGGAAATTATCTAGCCTTGTTACAATGTGTTGGATATGAGTTAGACCAGGTTACCATTGAGTTTATCTTGCCTTGTTACTATGTGTTGGATATGAGTTAGACCAGGTAACTGTTGAGTTTATCTAACCTTGTTACAATGTGTTGAATATGAGTTAGACCAGATTACCATGGAGTTTATCGAGCCTTGTTACAATGTGTTGGGTATGAGTTAGACCAGGTTACCATTGAGTTTATCTAGCATTGTTATCGACAGGCGTTTGACTTAGAAATAAGTGACTGGTATTTCAATAATACATCTATAGCTTGAATATATACATATAACTCAACTTATAATTACAAGTCAATGCTACAAAACAAATATTCCCGTTCATTTCATTTATCTGCCTGCTATTGATAATCCGTGCTGTCTGGGCATACCTATCCGCTATGGATAATCCGTGCTGTCTGGACTTACCTGTCCGCTATGGATAATCCGTGCTGTCTGAACTTACCTGCCTGCTGTCTGGACTTACCTGTCCGCTATGGATAATCCGTGCTGTCTGGACTTACCTGTCTGCTGTCTGGACTTGCCTGTCCGCTATGGATAATCCGTGCTGTCTGGACTTACCTGTCCGCTATGGATAATCCGTGCTGTCTGGACTTACCTGTCTGCTGTCTGGCCATACCTGTCCACTATGGATAATCCGTCCTTACATGTGCCTGTCCTCTATAGACAACTGAACAATAAGGAACCCGCCCGCGTTTATTTATGCTGTTTCCAGGTGTTAGAGGTCTCGTCAAGGTTATGATAAAATAAGTGATGCTAAACTGGATTGGTATTTTTGAACTGGGTTATTCAAACACAGTCGGAATAGTAGTACTGGGATGTAAGGAATAGTATTGGACTGGTTTGATATCGGAACCATTCGGGAATTGATGTTGCTGATTCTTGTTGTTGGACCTCAATACTGAATGAATATAGATACAGAGGAATCAGCCCACGTAGGAATATGTCAATTAACGGTCGTTATTGTCTTTGTTTGTACTACTTCTTTGATAACATTTTTATAGTCTGGTTAAATGTTCTCTTACCTAAACCCCGGCTGTCCAAACCACCGTATGGAATCATCATGTGATATAAATCTGAAAATCATCATCATCATTATTCAAACAACAAATCAGCCATTCTAAATATAAATGATATATATCGACAACAATCGAATATAGGCGCTAAAAGACATTTACATTTCCGTACCTAAAAAAAAAGCATTGTTCCCTTAAACGCAGACCTGCAGGGTTGTATTCTGCCTTTTCACGGCGTGAATGTTTTAGAAGATTTACGTTCGAGAAAAAATAACATCCTGTTGGCATATTAAAGGGGAGAAAATCTCAGTCGCCGAAACTAAAAATTGTCAACAATATTGTTAAAATATCAAATGTGAATCCTGTCTTTTAAGGTGATTTTCTTCAGCATTTGTTTATGTTAACCATACTGTAAGATACATGTATGATACACTTAAAAGTGAAGAGGATACCAACATCATCACTGAGTAACCCGAATTCACTCGACCATGACACGTTTTCAGCTTGATCGAAAACCTTGGTGCCTTTTTTCCCCGAACTTGGTCCACGTTCAAAGTAACGAGTCATGTATATCAATATTGGTCGTTGTTATATTTGTATATCTATAAATAAGTCGTGTAATTACATTGATGAGATCTTACAGGATGCTTAAACATAAATATTGAAAAAGGCATCGCTTACATTTCGCAGTTTTCATGTCGAATAATTACATGATGTTCTTTCGTGATGTCTTCAAACTCGGGGCAGTTTCCTGTTCCTGGATGAAAAAAGAAGAACGATGGATGAGAAAAAATAAGGTGTCTTAAAAACGAATACCTTGTATGGATGTACCAAGTACGACGTACATTCCATCGAATTGGTCTTGTGATAATCGTTAATTTGTTAAGAGAGTAAATACTAGCCAAACTATATCGCTCAGCTACAGAAAACTTCTGTTTAGCTCGATCAGCTGAACGTCAGACAGAAAAGCCCGTGAACGTGTGTCATGTATACTCGTATCCTCGATACTACAGGGATTTGGACCACTTTCGCTCTCCTGGAACATGTCATAGCAAAATTGAAGGTTTTATGTACGACACCTTTTGGATAAGACGAAAAGACTGATTTGATCCTTTGATGTACATCACACTAATTCCGAGGTCAAAACGGTGTATTGTGATGGTTTTGAAGTTGGATGTCGTTCATTCGTAATCTCTAAAAGGAGCGTTTCAGCCTGTGATTGGTCAGGGTTTTTTTTCTCGTTGAACCAATTAAATCACTTCACCTGTACCATTCAATTTTACCATGGTATAAGCCAGGCTTGCAGAGAGCGAAAGTGATTGTAACCCTTGGAGTCTCGAGAGTGGTTCAATGGGTACAGAGATCGATAGTAATATAACCCCTGGAGTATCGAGGATGGATACATGGGTACAGCGAGCGAAAGTAATTGTTACCCCTGAAATATTGAGGGTGGAGAACTCGGCTGTCAGTTGTTTGTGAGATTTGATCAAAGTCGATAATGGATGATTAATTATAATTGATGTGATATTTTTTTTGATCAGTTATGTAAAAACTTTAACTTGGCTCAGTTTTTGACGCGATTTGATTTCTTAATGTGCGTTGAACTTGTCCTAAAATAAATGCGATTTGAAAACAAAAGATGAAAGTGCGTATTTCTTTTCAGATTGTGCTGTAACAAAGGTTATCGCATATAACATGAATAACTCAGTACATAACCGTCTGATTGTAATTGATAGTGACAGACATCAGGAAGTGGTTAACTCCAAATCACATCTAACTTGGTTTCAAGATTCGAGGTATTATAATGTTAACCCAACAAGACAACGCCCACACCCACCTGGTAGACGGTCTTCTGGCTCCACTTCCTCTGTTGTAGAATAGGAATGGTGATGGTACGGAAGAGTCGTGCCCGTGTGGTATATGGAAGTATGTTCGTTCATCGGCGGAGTTGTGTGTATTCCCGCTCCTGGACTCAGGTCATGCTGTTCGACAGGATCCTCTGAAATGACATTGTACATATCTGTATATTGTAGTGACAGGTTCGCCAGAATCTTGATATGCATTGACGTATCTCACATGCTAAGTATGTTGGCTGATTTCTGCCATTAAGTTGTTTCATTTGGTCCCCTCCTCCGACAGAACGATAATCTTCGTCTTTTCGCACCTGCTAATTATCGTCATTTCGCAGTCACAGAACGAAAAGACGACGCCATACTCAATGCAAAATAACGAAACATTTTGAAGTCACTTGATACCGGGGCGAAATCATTTGCTTCGTTTATGATCGTCCTTACGCCCCGACAAAACGATAATTATCGTTATGTCGCTGTGAAAAGACGATAATTAGCGGGGGACATAACGATTATCGTTCTGTCGGGGCGAAACAACGAAAAGGCAGAAATCAGCCACCATAGTTAAGAAATAAAAAGCGAGCTTTTTTTAATAAATGCATCCACAATGTGGAAAATATACCCACCAGCAGGGGTTGGCTGAGTTATCCCACCAATCAAAGTCGTCACATCTTCCCCTATCTCGCGTTCCTCCGGGATGTCCGTCACTGATCCGTGGGCTCGCTTCACTTTCTTGGCTGTACCTGAATGGGGTGGAGGAGGGGCTGCAACGCCAGCAGATTCCGGCTGTCTAATACCACTCGCATTGGTAGAATGTGCTAATCCAGTACCTAATATATCTGATGAAAATAAAATACTTATCTGTTTCATCATTGGGCAGGAATGTCATCAAATGTTTCATTAAAAAGATATGTACACGAAAGTTACAATTAGATGACGTCATTGACAACATTTAGAGCACAAGAAAAAAACAGATGCTTTTGAGAGTGTAAGTAAAAACGATATACATTCGTTATATTTCCCCTGTACTCTGATAAATGTTATATATCATTGTATTTTTGATAATCATGATATACGTCTCTTGTCCTCAGGTTATTTGATACTTTCATTGTCCACTGATCATCGTAAATTTTCTTTATCTGAAAATCGTTACCCTGGTATCCTTTCTGTTGTCTTTGATACTCTTACACCTCCGTTATTGTCATATATATGTACTTGTTATATTTTCCACAATTTCTTATAAACGCTATTTTCCGTGTCTTCTGATAACTGCTGGCTTTTCCCCTTTTTCTTACAAATTATAATTTTTATACAATGTTTGCATTTTGAAGATCTTTTAACAACTCCATACTGTCATATTAACAGCATACCTCCACTATATGTAAAAAAAACTGTTTTTCTCTGCGTCTCTACACGAGTGATCATACCTCTCGCTTAGTTAATATTTGTGTTATTTTATTCTAATTTGCAGCCTTGTGACCACTAATTATCATCTATACTTCCATTGTTAGCCTAAGATCGTGATAACTAGTTTTATACCAGTTAATTACACTGTATCGCCAAAGTTCAGCTGACCCTGGACGCTGAAGTGAAAATCGTTAAGACCTTTTTTCCGCTCAAATATAAACCATACAAGTACTGTTATTTATCGTCATTTACATTGTTTTAATTAAGATCCGGATATTGACACAACTGATTCCCAAATCGTATCATTCATGACACCCAAGTAACGATCTATCGGCATTTTTGAAATTTGATAGGCAAATTTGCAATGACATGCTATTTTCAAAAATTCATATTCACTATTCAAATCATTTAATGTTAATAAAAAATTCACTTACATACAAAATATCAAGTAAGCATGTAAGTGACAGTGCAGTTTTCAAATCACTTAACTCATTTAACACACCTATTGCAAAAATACAAGTATGAACAAATATATCAAAAAGAACTGTATTGTATGAAAAACTAAATATACATATGTGTGAAACATAAAATAACGTTCATACTCACGAAAAATTGAAATTCCTAATAACACAAAATACCACGTCATTGTTCTCGGCCCTCCTGGTGCTATTTGGAGATATGTTGGAGGCTACAGAATCACACCCTGAGATACTATATCACTGATTCATTCATCTACGCTCTGTCAGGGCATTTCGTGTACAAATAACGATATGTACACTTGAAATAGTATATCACATGGTTGTGACTCTTTTGATCCCTCATATCAGTCGTGATCGTTATCTCTCCTCCAGTTTTCAGAATGAATAGAAGGACATAGAAGAGGTAAAATTTATAAGGTGGAAAAAGGGAAATTCCACTTTGTTGTGTATATATACGAAACGAACAATATATCACATAAGTAAGTCTTCGATAAAAATTCTACATCAGTGTGCAATAACCTGTAAGAATGTTTCATTTGCTGACAAGCCGTAACGTCATATCTACATGTTTATTTCAACGCTCAGGTTTATTTATTGATTATTATCATTAATTAACATTCGCTATTTCGGCCTTTCAGTGGACGACTTACATGTCGGATATGAATTTAGATCTATTTCTGTATACACTATATGGATTTGTGATTATTTGTCATGTTGGGGTTATTGCAAAGTTCATTCTAGTCCGGAATTATTGTTGTAGATCGATAAATGGTATAGCTCTGAATTACCTCCCTTGTAAATCAAGACCTTTGATCGATTGGTTATATTTACTATGTCTTGCCGTTTTCACTAATGCAAACAATAACATACAAAGTTTGAAGACAAAAAGACAGTATGAATACCGAAAAATGTACTAATGTACCAAATTGAAAACGTATTTGTCAATAGAATGTGTTTTTCCGTCGTCTCTTATGTTTCTGAAAAGGAGTTTTCATAAAACACAGTCCTACATCGTATTTCCTGTGCACACATTCTTTGATAGTAATTATTTTGTTTGTAAACAAAAACTGTCATCACACAGAACATGTCTATAATTGGAGAAGTATGTCACTGCAAATTACCGTTAATATATGCCCTCGTGACTTCTAGCCCTCAGGGGCTTGAGATCTGACCACAAGACTATTGACGTTGTCACTTACAACCGGTAAAGCAAGACAAAGGCCTTTTTTTAAAGAAATGTTTTCTGAAAAAAATGTTGATAGACACTCAGTTTTCACATTTGTATGGATGATTTAAAAAATAATTCAAGTTTATTTTGTAAATGTTGAAGTGAAAACAGCTATACACATCACCTTACTCGATCTGTCGTCGTGCGAAAGTCAGCACTCTGTAATGATAAATGACCAATTTATCGTTTAAGTCGTAACCAATACAGTTAAGATGGAAAGTGATATAACGTTCCAATAAACACATTTCTAGCACATTCTATTGGTAGATAATTAAAAAGAATTGGACACAATACATACGTAGTACTTAGTTCTATACATTTGTGTGTCGCTGATTTCTGTTAAACTTATTTGAAAATTCCTAACGTTGGCATGCTTTGTTTAAATGTTTTTGTTTTGTTGGTATGATTTTTACAGTTTAATATATTACATCTTTTTTCGTAAACAAAGAAATGCCTGTCCCATTAAGTGACAATCGTCTTGCCGGCTGTGTCATGTTTCGGCCGTTCTAATAACTGGTGCTATCCATTGTATATGATGAGTTTTTCACATATTATAACTGAACACCTAACACTCTTCCCAAAACTTTGTCGGTAATATAGATATAAATAATACAAGCGCTTTCTTAATATGATTATAATCGATTTAATTACAAAATTTCATTAAAAAAAATATGGCGTGTAATTATCTCATCTAAATCTTACTGAAAATACAATAGAATGAAATCAGTTTTCTATTGAGAGTGAAGGCAGATGGGACATGTTAATGAGATCAATCCAAATCAGAAAAATAGATCTTGGTTACGTTACGTATTTGCAGCAATATGCACTTAAACATTAGTTTTTTCGGCTGGAAATGGAATTTTGAGATACAACGCATAGATGTTCCATCTAAAACCAGGGACGTATTTGTATGAAATATTATACGTCTCTGCTGACACTAACAGAGTGTAATCATATAAGACTGAAATCCTATCATCAAAATTTGGACCAATCGAAACAGATGAACAATTAAATTGAAACAAAAGTGTTGTGAGCTAATTATGTTTTCCATTTTGAATTTATTAACAATATTATAAAATATTGAAAATTTCTACACCAGTGTCCATTATTAATAACTTTTTTGTTTGTTTTCATCATGTTTTTTATTGTTTGTTTTTATTTCAATAACTTCATTAAACCAATCATAGTAGCGAGTGTTGCTTTATTTAAATATTCGTATGAGTTGTGGCGAGTACTTGCCAAAAATTGACGTATTATCTGGGATGATAAATATTGCGGCCGATGAGTTACACGATAATACCACTGAACTATAGTCTAATTTAATAGTCTTTGAAGCATGTTAAATTGCCGTCTCAGTATTTAACCAGTTATTCCGTCATTTGATTAATCGTTTGGTTTGTCATTTCTTGCACATTTCCCAACTTTCCCCGAAATTTCGCCCGCAATAAACGCAGTACTTTCTGGATGTACACTGCACATGTATATTATGACACGGTGATTCCAAATGCATGTTTAGCTGACGTCACTTGCCATGTTTTTTTAGATCGACTAAGACGATGACCTGAAATAGTTGCAACGTCATTCCTCTATTGAACAGTGATCAGTGAACGATGAGCAGTGATCAGTGAACCATGAGGAGTGACCAGTGAACCGACTGGATTATTTATCTCTATTCTGTACGTATAACATCAAATGTTATCTAACCAGGGTAACATATACCAAACAACCGAAACTCCGCCGGCGAAATATGAATTTTCATGAAAGTTGAAAATGATAAATCAGTAGATCGTTGTAGTACTGCCGCAATGTATTTTCATTGGCTAATTAGATGCCATGTGACATCTTTAATGAATCAGAATTACATTTCTGCAATAATACTAAACCGACCAATAATTACAAGCTCTGTAAAAACATTTTAATGGACGTTTAGTTTACACATAAAAAGTGATTTAAACTGTAATAAGCACACTTGTGAAAGCTAACATACCCGTTTTCCACATAAAATGCAGATAAGCACAGATTACAAAATAACATATTTCTATGATAAACACTGTCATTTAGCACGGTAGAATGTCCCAATATAGGCTGTAACACATGTAAAGACACGTGGAAATAACTGTCTCATAGGTCTGTCGTTAACACATTCCCAGGACCGATCTTGTTATTTTCATCTTTGATAAGTTCACACCTCGAAAAAGAGGTGACCTCAGTATAGACAGCATCCGGGATGTCCTTTTAGTCGACTGGTGACGTTTCATTCTCATCGGACTAACACCAAGACTTTTGGGTGATGCCATTTCGAAAAAATTAATGTCACTGCGTACTAGATTCACGTTCTGGTGATTGGATCTAGGGTTGAGTAACTTTTCTTTTAAACAAGCACAGTCTGAAAACTTCGATATTTCAGCATAATTAAGCGAATACCTTTCTCCAACAAACGACTTCAGCTTTGCGGGTGTGACCATGACATTTTCCCTATCCACATGCTCGCCAGTGATCCGTCCCAAAGCTTCTCCCGTCTCAGCACTTTCCTGGCCTGTAATGATGGTTTTGGGTTTATGAATTGGGCTTCTAAACGGTATAGGCTGTTTTCCCCTCTGACATATACTATCGATTGTCACGTTGTCATCTTCTGAAGATATGCCATTACGGACCTCCTTGTGATCAGTTTGATTTATATATACTGCGTCACTTCCGTTTTCCCGGTGGGACACGACGCGGTCCTCTGACGATTTGGTGTGATTATTCATACGCTG